GGATTAGCTGGCTACTATCGCAGGTTTATCGAGGGCTTCTCCAAGATTGCCCTCCCCCTTTCCCAGCTAACCCGAAAGACTGTGAAGTTCGAATGGACTAACAGATGTGAGGCGAGCTTTCAGGAGCTCAAGAGGAGATTGACCACAGCACCGGTGTTGACTATCCCAGATCCTACTCGGAGTTTCACCATCTATAGCGATGCTTCGAGGCAGGGCTTGGGATGTGTCCTTATGCAGGACGGACAGGTCGTTGCATACGCTTCACGCCAGCTTAAGCCCCATGAGCAGAACTACCCTATGCACGACTTAGAGTTAGCCGCAGTCGTACACGCCCTGAAGATATGGCGTCATTATCTTTACGGCGGACGCTGCGAGATATTCACAGACCACAAGAGCCTACAGTACATCTTTACGCAGAAGGAGGTTAATATGAGGCAGCGCCGTTGGCTCGAGTTGGTCAAGGATTATGATTGTTCGATTCAGTACCATCCGGGGAAGGCGAACGTCGTCGCAGATGCCCTGAGCCGAAAGGTGACGGGAGACTTGACGTACATCATCACGCAGCAGAGTCCATTGATTCATGAGTTCGCCCGGATGCAGCTTCAGGCGATTGACGCACTCCCCATAGCTGTCTCGGGGAGCACTAGTGCCAGTGTCATTGCTATGCAGCTTCAGCCGACACTGAGAGATAAGATCCGGCGAGAGCAGGCTTCTGACGAGTTTGTACGTGTCATGGAGGCCAAGGTTCGCGCCGGAGGAGTGCAAGACTTTCAGTTTGGCGCCGATGGTGCCTTGCAGTTCAGAGGCAGGATCGTGGTCCCAAAAGCCGAGGCATTGCGGAAAGAGATTCTATCAGAGGCACATACCGCACCTTACTTGGCTCATCCAGGGAGCACGAAGATGTACCACGACCTGAAGGGGTCGTTTTGGTGGAGAGGCATGAAGAAGGACGTCGCAGAGTTCGTTAGGCGATGTATTACCTGTCAGCAAGTCAAGGCCGAGCATCAGAGTCCGATTGGCCTCCTACAGCCA